CCCCCAAAACCCCAAAACCCCAAAACCCCTTTTGGAACACTTTAGGTTGAAATTTAATGATTTAGGCAATCTGGAGTTCTGAAGGATCTTGTTTGTAGAAGAGGATGTAAGCGTTTGGGGTCTTAACTTCGCTATTAGAGATAAGCTTGAAAGAGCAGTCATTAAATTCGAACCAGTTGGAGCCTCTTTTTCAGATCGATGTATAGTGACCGGAAGTGAGGCTTCCTGAGTGCAGAATTGAGCTGAAAAGAGAGTAGCTGATTGGGTTATTTTTTGGGGATTGTAGGGTGAAATTTGTGTGGAAATCCATGGGATCAGTGATTTTTGAATTAGTTGAAGAATCAAATCTTTGGAAGACAAGGATGAGGTATTTAGGATATTTTATAATTTTCTTTTGAATTGTACAGTTTTGTTGGCCATAACATACTTCACAGTTCATTTGAGAATATTGTTTCTCTGATGACTCAATAAATGTTTTGAAACCTTTGTTCTGATCCTTCAGATGACATTCTATTGGTACGCTATTAAACTCCTCATAAACCTTAGCTTCTTTCTCTCATTCGCAACACGTAAATACTGTTTCGTACATGCCAACAAATAACTGATCAACAATTGAAATGTGATCTCTTTCATATGCTTGCCAAGCATCTTGACCATTTTCATGCCCAGACGATATAAAAGTTGTGGAGGTTGGATTATGCTCATTTTGAAGAATCTCAAACAAACACATCAGAAAATCAGATGCGTCATGTTGCTGTGAAGGATGATACTTTTCATCAAAAAGAGTTCTAAACTTTTTGTTCCATATTGGGCATTCACTATCTGAGAAGTATTCAGTGATAAACTCTTTTAATTTCGAAGAGTATCATTTCTCACTGTGAGAATCTTGAGTAAGATAATGGTTTATTGTAGTAGATTCATCACTATCAATGAATGTATTATTTTCACAATAATAATCAACGAATTCATTAACACATAGCAGAGCCTGGAAGGCAGAATTTATGAATCAATCATAGTGGGAGTTTAAGATTCCCCTATTTTTAATAATTTCTGTTATTCTAAAGATCATTAGTAAACTTACATAATGTCAGTTTTACTTTCTTCTTGGGGCTCGGCTATATATTAATCATGATTTTTACTTGTATTTTCACTCTCTTTCTGACTCAGAATCATTTTCAATTTCATCCTAAACATTAAGCTTCCACTCACAATCTTATTTATCAAAGTCCAATTTTATCTCAATGTTAGTTTTGGTGGTTGAGTCTTTCTCTTTTCTGCTCTTATGTGCTCCAGCCTCAATCAAAATCTCATTCCTCTCTTTGCTAGTGACCGATATTTCGGTTCCATTTTGAGCTTTTTGTATCTCTTCTTCTTCATCCCTTCTGCTATTCTCATCCATAGCTCTGATTCTCTCTTTCTTTGCATAGTTTTTTCTGAAAGTTCATCAGGATCCATCTGCTCCCATTTTAATACTATTAAAAATAAAGTAATTTGCTAATTTATATCTAGATCATTAGATCGGGGTTTTGGGGTTTTGGGGTTTTGGGGTTTTGGGG